CGATAATGACCGGTCATTTGGGGTCATTTAAGGTCATTTGAAAAATTTGCAAATGACCAGGTCATTTACCATCACTGTCGGATGGAGTAAATTTAGACGACTTCTCGATACCTAACATAGTATCATTGGAAGATGGTATCAAAGCGCATAAAGAAAAAAATTATAAAGTTGCTCGGAATTGTTTTTTAGGTCATGCTAATCTTGGGAACAATGTTGCAAAATATTGGAAAGGATATTATTTATTAAGTGGATTTTGTGTGGAGAAAGATCCAAAAATCGCCATTCAGCTCTTTAAAGAAGCTGCTGATAATGGTGTCGCTGATGCACAACTTCGGTATGCGTTTGCTCTTCTTGAATAAGAAAAGAATAAATTGGATGTTTCAGAAATAATGAAATACTTAAACATGGCAGCTGAAAACGGAAATTCTATAGCGCTTTTTAATTTGGGTGACATCTATTGGAATGGAAAACTTGGAATACCGATTGATAAAGAAAAAGCGAAATCGTATTTTGAACTTTCAGCTTCGAAGAATAATGCTAAGGCTATTGAATTTCTTAAAGAAAATCAACTCTAAAGCTTTAGTGTTTTGATGATTTTATTGTATATCTAATTTAGAATACAATTGTAAATAGCTATATTATCGGGCATAAATAAATTCTGAAATTAGTGAAATCGTTCTCTAATAATAATAAATCTCTTCATAATTTCATAATTCAAGTTACATTAAATCTGAATATAACTTGGCATTGTCTAAATATACTGTATTACTATATTCGTTATCTATCATATGCGCTAATTATGATAGATTTTTAAGTTTTGTATATAGAATTTTTATTATAGCATTTAGAGTTAAATTTAAGGTTTTGAGATGAGTTTTTGGGATGTGTTACAGTACCATACACATCCAGTCTTTTTTATGATAATGTTATAAATATGTGTAAAACGCCATAGATGCATTCTGTATCGTTTTTCTATCAAAAATAAGCCAAATATGATTTCAATGTATTATAAAATTCTGTTTATTTGATATATAGAAAAGTTTTGTATTCCTATTCTTTGTATTACAATCATGCTATGTTTATCTTGCCTGACTAATAATTTAAGCATAAATAAAAACAAATACTTAAAATATGTAGTAATCTAAACTAATATATTCAAATGATAATACTGTATTGAACTTTGCTTGAAGCGAGATAATAATTTTATAAAAACGAATATAATGAACCAGTACATACACGTACGTACGTATTTTATTATCTGAAAATTTCCATATTTATAAGTGGCTATTATCGAATATCAAATTGCCGACTGTTTCTTTGCAGATAAAGGCATTGTTATCTTGTCCGATGCATACTTTTTTTTCAAATTTGATAGTTCTATAAATAATTTGTTAGGGCTAATTCTATCCTCTGGTCTATGAGCCCATACTTTTAAGAATAAGTTTATCTATTAGTCTGAGTGCTTTAAATCTTCAGAGACAATGATTAAAGATTTAATAATTACCGCTTTCAATAATTCTTACAAATTCTTGATATATTTCAATGTCTTCAGATTTATCTGATGAATAAGCAGCAATTTCTTCTCTTTCTCCTTTTGTGACATGAGTAATCACGTCGTCTAACTTCTTGCCAGCATAAGGTGTCTTCTCAAACACCAATTCCCATAATAGCATTCCAAAGCTATGCAGATAGACCAATAAAATCAACACGAATGCACATTTTAACAGTTAATTTCGAGTTCATACCTGAATAATTCACATTGGTAAGTATATCGTACAATGTTTTCTTTTTCATAATCTAACATTTTTTCAGGAGCCATCCAACGCAAACTTTCTCGATCTTGATTAATATAGGTGGTTACATCATCTTTCATTCTTGCAAATTGGAAGTTTGTTAGTTTAGGTTCCAGTTCACTTGTTACCTATGAAATCGTGATAAAGAAAGATCAACTACTACGGTCGCCATAAAAGAAATTTGAGCAATTTTTTTTTAAATTTAAATTTTACCAAAACATTTTCGCAACGGATGTCATGATGAAATATTGTACGAAAATCTAAAAATAAGATTGCACGAAAGATATCCAATGCAAAAGATATTTTTGTGGTCCAAGGTAATGAGTACTTCTCATAAACTTCTTTTAAATTGCCCATTTCAGCCCATTCAAAAATCATATAATTGTGATTTACAACCTTTGAAATTCCATAAAATTTGAGGATTTTTGGACAAACACTGGCTTTTAATAAAATTTCTAAAGTATTTTGAACTTGTGAGATATCATTTAAGAAAGATTTACATCTAACTTCTCGGTTGTCCGGTAATAATATCCTTTTTAAAATTGGTTCGGGTTTATTTACTTGAAGGTTTTTGTTTGGATTTGGATTTTGCAACTGAGTTGGCGATATTCTAGGTAATTCAATCGAATCAGCTGATATTTCCTGGTATTCCTGAAAACCTTCGATATGAGCAAGGAACTATAAACAAGCTCTTTTAGTTGGAAGAATTTGTAAGTTCTAAATTTTGAATTTTATAAATAATACCTCAGTCATTTCATTCAAGTCATCTTTTAAACTTTCATTATCTATTTCCTTTAGCTTCTCTTGATCAGTTACTATAGTGAAGCCTAATATACCCATACAAGTATCAAATCTCTTTGTCAATTGCAAAAAGTTTTCTTTAACTTCATCTACCTTAAAAAACCTAAATTTTTGAAACTGTGTGATATCTGCTACGAACTTTTTAATATTTATTAAGGTTTTTGTAAAATTTTCAAAGTTATCAAGATAATCTTCTTTTTTAAAGTTTTCTTCAAGCTCTGATTTTCTACGCAACAATATTCTAATCCCATATTCAACAGACCTCACTCGCTCAATTAATGCTCCACAGATTTTTTTGTTGTATTGTGCACTAATATCTATCTCCAACACCTCAGTAACATGCGTGGTCACTATTGATACTAAGGGTGTGTAATTTCCAGAACTTTTTAAGGTATTTACTGCCTCATTGATTTGTTCTTCAGACATCATTTAAAAATCTTAATCTCAGTGGAATTTTATGCTTATAAATACAGTTTATAATTAACTAATCTAAAGCACTATTTAATCAACATGAAAGTTTTACTTATAAATCCTGGAAAATACAATTATTTTTGCAAACTGATCGTACATTAGTTAAGTAAGATTATGCATTTAAATTATCCTTTTTTTATTAATGACATATAAGTATAGTATGTGCGTACGTACGTATGTATTACCTGTTACAGTAACATAACACAGACTCTTTTTTTCTATAGAATTTACGGATTATAGCGATGAAGACATTACTAGTATACGTGTCAGTACATCTTCGCAGATTGAATATATGAGGATTTTATGTATCGATCTTAATATATAGACATGGTAGCTTATCTCAACTAAGGATGTACATTCGTGGATTTCAAATTTTGGCGTATGCTGCGCATAAAATGGCTAATTAAGGATGTCAAAAATCGACCATAGTCGGTGTTACGCCCAAGATTGGTATGTAATAGAGTTACACAGGATGAATGTTTATTATGGATTCGGGATTTAATAGTAGGCAAAGGTTATTTTTCAACAAGAATTTTCTCTTTATTAGATGAGCTTCGTATTTATACATTTTAGTTTTGGAAAGATTCGGGGTTCTAATCCTCGGTGTCTCAAATCCTCATTATGATATGTAATCATGGGATCTAGTCAATTTACAAAAACATGAGGTAACAATGAAGCCGAGATAAAAATTAGCGTAACACCAACCGCTGTTACTGACCGTTATTATTATGACCAATGGATAATAACCAACAGATAGACCATCAATCAAAGACGATAGTAAGTAGAATGATATTATATTTATAAGCCAAATTATTAATAGATAAATATGAGCGGTTATTAATATTGTAATACATTATTAGTAAACATGTAGCTATGATTTAAAAGTAAAAGTTTTATAAATACAGCAAAATGAACCCGAATTGAGTTCAAATAACGATAAGTCTAAATCGAACTTAAATAACCATATTTAGGTTCATTGGAACCAGAATCAAGTTCAGTTGAATCGGATTCGGTTCCAAATGAACCAAGATCAATAAAATTAGTATATTTTCAAAGAAATGACTGGACGAGAAAATACACCAGTCGGAAGAATTATATAAAATTTACACAAAATATGATCAATGCTAGAGGTCGGAACCAGTTGTAAATTCAAATAACCGAATTGAATTTACGTGCAAACCGAATTGAACCGGATTGTGTAAAATCTAAGTTACATCATATTTTTTGCTTTACTGCAAGAATTCTGTTTGGTTAAAATAAAATAAACCCGAATTGGAATATTACCAACCGGTTTATTATAGAACCCGTTTACTATTAAAATCGGTTACTATCAAAACAATTTCCTATTAAACCCGGTTTAACCGAATTTAAAGTCGAATTATAGTAACTGGTTCCGACCTCTAATCAGTGTTTAGGTCTTATGTTACACGAGCTATACTGTATAAATTTTCAAACTACTTCGGTGCCGAACATCCCTTTCACAATCTATACTCATTGATTTATTTATCAAATATATTGCACATAAAACACAAACCTTTTTCCATATTTACAAATTTATCATTTGTATTTAATAATTATGCAACCGACTTAAATTCGTAATAATACCTTCAAAACTTTCTTGGCAACAAATTTCATAAGAATGGGTGCACAGAACAATATTGATGAGATTAATACTAAAATTTCTGCGATTAAAGATGTTTATGAAAACATTCAGTATAATAAACGAATATGTATTTCATTAATGGATCGCATTGATTTTGTAGAATTATTCGCTGTTACTGGAAATTTACAAAGAAATAATAAGATGTTTAACGATTTCAAATCTCTCGTTCAAATTTTAAACAGGACGGAAATTTTTATGAAAAATATCTCTCATTTACAAAGTTATATTATTCATAAGGATTCATTCGAAATAAACTTTAACGAACTCATAAATGAATTTTCGGCTGTATCCCAACAGACACAACAAGTAAACGTTTGGAATGATGATGGTAAAAAAAGTTTTGAACAAGATTCTGAGCAAATGAATGAGGTAAATTGATATTTTAATAAATAATCTTCACACTTATTTTAGTATTTCTAAAGAAATTTTTATACATAAATCGATTCAGTTTATTGAAGAAATTAGAAAAAATAAAATAATTGATATTGATAGTATCGCTAAAACAATTGAAACCCTAAAAAAGCCTATTAAAAACCAAACATCTGATTTTGAATCCTTCAATATAGCACACGAGAAATTGATTGATCCCTTTATTGAAATGGCTAGTAATTTAAGAGGAAATAAGCCTTATGTTAAAAAAAAATTTTATAATAATGTAGAAGTTGCTTGCAAATCTATTACTATTTCAAATAGCACAAACGATAAACAGCGACTTCAAACTCAACTTTTTATTTTGGAAAAACTTCGAGAATCATCAAACATACTTCGCTTTTATGGAGTTTCAAAAATTGAAAATTCCCTCACTATAATAAATGAATGGGCTAAATTAGGATCATTGAAAAAAGTTTATGAGAACTATAATTTAGATTTTTACGCAAAGATACTCATAGCTGCAGGAATTTGCAATGGATTAATGTATTTGCATTCATGTTTAATTCTTCATTGTGAGATTCGATGCGTGAATATATTGGTAAGTTTATTTTGTTTAAATTTAATAAATTAAATATTAATATAATACATAATAATCATGTAGATGACGAGAGACCTTGCGCCAAAAATCTCAAATTTTGATCATTCTCGTTTTTCAGACACTTCATGTCAGGATATACCAGATGTTGAGGAAACAGTGCGGTGGATGGCACCTGAAATATTAGCTCGAAACCCATATACATTCAGCTGCGAAATTTATAGGTGATATGATTTATTTATAGCTAATTTAAAGTTCAAATATTATTTGCTTACAGGAGTTTCTATTATAGTTTTGGAATGCTTTTATGGGAATTAGTTTATGAGAGAATCCCTTACCAAGGGTTAGATGCTCAAAAAATTTTGATTGACGTTAAAAAAGGAAACAGAGAAAATTTTGATTCTTTACCCAATTTAATGCAAGACAAAGGATTAGAAAGTGATGCTAAAACACTATTTGGAGATTATCAAAATATAATTCTGGGTGGTATGACTTTCTTTTTAAATAATTATAAGGCATGAAGTAATTAATAAATTGTTAATTTATTTCACCGACAAAAATTAAAAAAAAATGCCGATATATTAAAGAGTACATCATGCCTTATGACTATTTTATGTATCATTTATTATATTTATTATTGTAAGAATTGTCTAACTTATTAATGCTATATTGATTAATTAAGCATGGCAGCAAGAATCGTGTAATAGATTATCTTGGGCACAAATTTATCCATCAATTACAAAACTTAAGTCAAAAGTACCTAATGGTCACTTTATAAAATATAATCCTTTAATCAATAAGACTAATATAAGAGAAAGACGACCTAGCGTGACAGAAGAACAAAATACAAAATATATACCATTTGAAAAATTAATTACCATGGAAAAAATTGATGAAAAAACTTGTGAGTTCACATACAGCCTTGATATTAGTATACGCTTTCATTCTTTAATCATGTTTATCTCATTACAGATGTTGCAAAAAAAGCATTCAACTTAGATTCGAGCGATCATGTCTTTTGCAAGGAATTTGATAACAAATATGAAGAGTTCATACGAGAATTAGATATTATGAAACGTTTAGGAGTGCATGAAAAAAATGTAATTGAATTCATAGGTATTAGTGAAGGTGAATATTGTACAATAATTTTACTTTATTTGATTGACTTATTGTAATTTTTAATAGCAAATGTATTTATTACAGATAAAGAAAACAATATTTATTATCTTATAATGGAGTATGCAGAGGAAGGTGATTTAAGGCATTATTTAGAAAAAAATTCTTCGAACTTGAAAGATTTTAAGAAGCAACTACGGCTAGCCCTTGGTATTACAAAAGGCTTGATGTATTTGCATCATAAAAAAATTCTTCATGGAGATTTGGTAATTTTATAAAAATCTCATAAATTGTAATATATTATCAAATATTTAATCATTATTATATTTATAGCATGATAAGAATGTTGTAATCTCTCACGGAGATGCTAAAATAATAGACTTTGGAAAATCGATGCATGCCAACAACCAAAATAATAATACACTTTTTGGATGTCTTCCTTTTATGGCACCTGAATTATTCAAGGACCTAAATAATATCGAATATACAGATAAAAGTGATATCTACAGTCTTGGAGTGATACTTTGGGAGCTGACCAGTCGTCATGAACCTTTCAGATATTTTAAATGCAATCCTCAAGATTTAAAATCAAAGATTATAAAAGATAAATTGAGAGAAAAGAATGTGCCTGGAACTCATGATGATTATCTTAACCTTTATAAAAGTTGTTGGGAAGATAACCCAAGTAAAAGACCAAAACTTCAAAATGTTTATACTAACTTAGTGAAAATAAGCAATGAAATCAAGACCAAGCCAGGTACGATTACATTAATCAATATAGTTTTATTTACCAAGTTTCAAGCTGACAATTTCTTTGGAACTAGTATTCTCGCCTATTGGTATCTTTTTTTTTTTTTCTTCATTTGAGTGCTGCCAATAAAAACCTATAAGTGCGAATTTAAATTTGCATCGTACGGACTTACTCCGAAAAGTTGGGATATTATATAATTTATTCACCATACGCGTTATTAGTGTTCTGAATATAAATGATTAGAACACTGGTTATAACATATGCTCATCAAATACATAATATTACAATTCTTCGGACCTAAGTTCGGTGCAATGAAATCTTAAAATTCTTAAGATTTTCACTTGGGAGCATTTACCTTCATTATACCTCATTATTTAGTGCACAAAATTTTAACGTAATGCAATTTTTTTCAGATTTGATCTATATGAGAACAGTAAAACAAAGTCTTTAGACTAAATTTATATTTTCACAATACTGGACATGTTAGTGACCGGATTTTATCGACTTGCGATTCAAATACTCGAATTACTCGCGAATCAAGTATATTTAATTTAATTGCCAACATTTTTCAATAAATTAATTTCATGACTCGGATAAATCGAATAAATGATAGTTCAGTCACATGATAATTCGAGTATGAGTTGAATGAGTCCAGTTACTACTATCTTACTGATATATGTTGATATACATAACAGGTATACAAGTTATTTAGAATATAATATCAACTTATATTCGGTGATATAATATTTAACCGGTCCTGTATAGTGAAATTATAAATTCAGACTTAAGAGTTTTACTTTGCGGTATTCATATATCATTATATTATGTAAGTGTCATAGGAAGACTTTCGTATGATTGGTTAATGTATGTCAATTGCCCGGTAAATTATTTATACTTTTTTGAGTACTCATGAAAACATAGCATTTCACCACAAAAAAAATCACCGCCTGCATCAAAAGAATGTTTATATTCATTGCAAAACCAATCAAAAACAATTAGCAATCGCTTAGAAGTGAAGATATTGTTGCCGTTGGCCGTTGTATACAGTACTCGGGGTCTTATTCAAGAACTCTATTTTTAAAATTAAATAGTACCCGTGGATACTGTGCGAAGAACCGAGTACTATATTTGGAGAAATATCATATTAAAAGTAGTAAATCAATATAGTTATACCCCGGATCTTATTTAAGAAACAAGATGATCGTGATGATAATAATAGGGGATACTGTATACAATGGCCAACGGTATTTATAAGTTTCACCTGCTTTATAAATTTATTTATGGGTAGTCAACAATCACGTTTTGAGCATAAATTAGCAGACCATATTAATGTTTTCCTATGACTATAGTAACAGTGAATTGGCTTCTGAAGCATCTTACAATATCGATTGTTTTAGTCATTTGGTAGCATCATTCAACTTTTTCCCCAACTAAAATCACCTGTTCTAACATTATGATTATTATAACAACTGTGTATAGGTTAGAATGCTAATCGGTTTGATATTATGAGTTCTGCAAAATTAAACCAGGAAATGAAATGTTAAGTCCTCACGAGTAACATAGTCATTACGCAAAATTTTCAGTCTCGCAATTGACACCAAATCCCGATTGTAAGGTCAGAGTAACGTACAAATTCGAAGTAAAAGAGAAGCTAGCTTACAGTCATTAAGTAAAATTTCATTACCAAAATTTAGATGTATCGTTTCTATTTTATATTAATGCAAAAACTAAATTGTTGGATTAGTCACCGGAAAGCAAATTTTTTGCGTTATGACTATTATACTCGGTTTTCAATGTAACAAACTTAACTCATAAATTTTAAATTAATACGATTGAATCACAAATATGATAAGTTCGCTGCTGTTAAACTTGAATTTTCATTTCTAGGTTTAAATTTGACAACATTCTTATCACAATTATAATAAGAACGGATTAATCATTGTGGAGATTATGATGAAATTTGGGATCTCTATTTAAACCTATAATACCTACTAAAATACACATATACTCTTTTTTTATTAATTAAACTACCCCCTAATCCTAACCTAATTATAAAAAAGAAGACCACACAAAAGGCCATAAAAATTTTTACAATCTAATAATAAAATACGGCAAATTTTCAGCATAATCCAATTTCAGCATAACCCCCACAATAATTAGTGTCGATGTGCCGTTATTTCAATTTTTGGTCTGACTGAAAATTCATAAGTCGATTTCACTCATCGTATAAGCGCTAAATAACGCGTAGAGGTATAATTTCGAATCTTGGCCTAAATTAGGCTTAATTCGGACATTATTCAAAATGCGCCCCTGGGCATTATTCGTGCTTATACAATTAGTCGACATTTTATAATAGATTTTGTGCACTGTTTCTACTGCTGTTATTAATTTGTTGTTAACTTAAACATCGTCAATTTATAGAGAAGGATCCATTTGATCTTTAAGGCGCTGACAATTAGTTTTGTACTAAAATACGCACCAATTGCAAATTTATATGGCAAGCCAGATATATGTTTTGATTACCTGTGTTGAAAACATAATTGCCTATTTAGCTATATAAAGATTAGATAATGGTTGGTAAAATGTAAACTTTTTTAACAAGGAATAAATATACTTAAAACATAATTATTTGATTAATTAAAATAACTTTTAATTATTAAGAAGGTTCTACTAAGTAAAGATTTTTCAGCTTTATGTAAGGTTATTTTAATTCTAATTGTTGTTAGTTTATTAAAATTAGCTTGGTGAATTCCAAGATACTTGGGGTTAAAGAAGAGAATACAAGAGTTTACAAATTTACTATTATATAAAGTATTATAATACTTTATGTAGTGCTGTGCCAGACTATATAGAGTTGGGTAATGAAACCCGAAACTATATATAAAATCCCGAAACCTTTTCTGAAACTCTATACTATACTGAAAGGATTAGAAATTTAATTTTATATTTTAAGACATAAAGTACATGATAATTAGATTGCATTTCAGAAATTTTTTGGTTACTTTATAGTAAATGTATATTAGTTATTAGCATTCTAATATGAAGGTTTTGGAAAGGTTACGGGTTTCGGTGCCCAACTCTAGTACAGATTAAATTAATAATTTTAAAGATTTTAAAATCTTTAGAAATAATTTCTCAATAGCTACTTGACCAAATTTAGCAATTTTTTATTTTTATTTTATAGCTTTGTAAAATTAAAATAAAAAAAAAAGATTATTGAATTTGGTTAATAAATGTCGTGGATTATCGTGAAATCAGATCATCGTGAGAGTTGGGTCTTGATTTGAAAATATAAGACCTACCAAAATTCACCTATACTCTTTTATTAATAATTCTAACCCTAAACCCTAACTTAACTAAAAAAAAAAAGCTTACAAAAAAGGCCCCAAAAAATTTTAAAAATCGTACATAAAATAAATCTAAATTTCACGATGATCCAATTTCACAATAATCCGTGACAATAAATATCAAGAATAATGAAATCCAACAGAGCCATGAATAATGGCCAGGGGTTAGAAGTCCCACATGGTGAAATTAGAGTGCAATCAGAGAGTTTAAATAGGTACCCGTAGTTGGGGTACAGGCATAGCAGATAGTGTAG